ATTTTTTATTTAATGTTGTGTTTCATTGCAGTATTTCCTGAAAACTCCTCAGGTGTGGCACTCTGAATCTGCACGCTGTGGTATTCTTGAGCAACTCCATCCTGTAGAGGTAAGTGGATTAGTTCTCATACTCAATTGTAAAACTGCTGTTAAGAATCGGTATTGCAAGAAAGAAGTCTTCTTTTGTTTTATAGTATGGAATTATAAAGTCAGAAGTAGAATCCTGTATGTGGAAGTAATGTAAGGTAAGTTGTACTCGTCTCTTCTGAGAGGAACTTTGGGGTCTTTGGTGTGCGTTCATAAAGTGCTGATTAGTCTGGTGATGCAGATTGTTTTGGAGGTCTCAAACACTGCAGCCTTTTAGCATGACAAAGCAGCTCCATCTTTGGGCCCACCTTACTGCCTTTTCATCCTGTGCACTGAATTGCAATGGCATGTCAGTATCGGATCCCTCAGCACTGTGCTGAGCCTCACCTTACTCATACTCAATCATTGGACGTTACTCAGCTTTAGCAATCATGTTTCTGCTACAGAAGGGCTTGCCGGATATCTGTAGTATTGATCCGGCCCGAAGGTGACAACCTTCCAACCTGCTGGTCTCTGCCCATGTTCTCTGTCACAACATCGGATGTGTGTGCTCACTGGATGCACTGATAAGAAATGTTTTTGAGAAGAGAACCTCGTGCTTCCCAGAGCAGTAAGACTGAGGATTTGGGATGCTCTTCACAAACCTGGTTAGAGTGTGCTTTCCCAGATGGCGTGCTGTTAAAGCAGCCCTTCTCAAAAGCAGAGCGTTGTGCCCGGTGTGACTTAAATCCCACCCACAAAGGAGCATTCCCTGCAGCCTCTGATCTCAGGTGTGTGTTTCCCCCACTGCTGGAACTGCTGGACTTTCATGCCTTCACTGTATGTGTTTGGCTCTCTTTATTAGCTCTGTTTGTTCTACTAGCTGTATGCAAACGTATCGAGAGGTAATGAAAAGATCTTTGAAAATAGCTTGGAGATATTAACCTGAGGCAAGAAGGTGAATTTTACTGCCTTAAATTAGGCTTCAGAAGATGTCCTTGAACTCAGAAGCTTGGGCTTTGTTGTAGCCTGATATTTACTGCTTGAAATTTCTTTAACTCTAGGACTGGAGGGGGAGCTTTTCTTCACACCTTGCTGGGTATGAAACTTGAACTACACTCGAGAAGGGCAGAAATGTAGCTGACC